GGTGGGAGTAAATGGGACAGGGAAGTGACAATACAAGATTTAAATACAGGTCAAGGAGACTGCAGAAGACAGGCCAGGAGGATGTCGACAGAGGCACCAACCGCAGTGGCTGCTTGTGCAAAAGGGAGGGGCACTGGGGTCGTCTCTGTGCCACATTCTTGCACACGGTGTTTTTTAATCTAAATTTCCCGGCAGCTTCCAGAGCAAAGATATTATCACTTTCATTTTAAAGATGAGGAAACTGAAGTCAAGTCACTTGCTGAAGGTGACGGCCAGGCCTGCCCTATCCCACAGCACATGTCCTCCCCCGGCCTTCCACCGTCCCTGGTGTGGGCAGCAGTGGCCAATGAGCTTCTTTAAAAGAAATTTTTTTTCTTTTTAAATTACATACAATACAGTTCACTCTTTTAGTGTTTTATGCATTTTGACGAACGCATAGGCTGAGTGGTTCTTCTTAATTCGTTTTAAATTTTGCAATCATTGTAAATTCACATATAGTTGTAAAGTAATAGAGAAATCCTGTGCACCCAGTTACTCAGTCGCCCCCGAGAGTAACTAACATCTTGCAAAACCGAAGTTCAGTATCACAAGCAGGAAACTGACACGGGTGCAGTCAAGATACAGAGCATCACTCACCACAAGGATCTCTTCTGTTGCTGTTCATAACCACACCCACCTCCCTCCCACACCTGCACCCCAATCCCAAAACCCCATCTTAAAACCCCGGCAACCACTAATCTACTCTTCATTTCTATACTTTTGGCATTTCAAGAATGGTATGGAAATGGCTTTATGCAATCGTTAGCCTTTGGGGAGCGCGCTTTCTCACTCAGCACAGTTCCTTTTCGTTGCTGAGTAACATTCCCCGGTATGCCCGCAGCGTGACCAGTTTAACCGTTCGCCCGTTGAAGGACATCCGGGTTGAAGGACATGGTCCGGGCTGTCATGAATGAAGCTGCTGTGAACATTCACGAGCAGGTTTTTGTGTGACTTAAGTTTTCATTTCTCTGGGGTAAATCCAGGGAGCGCACTTGCTAAGTTCTGTGGTAGTTGCTCGAGTGGGCGTTTGAAGGATGTGTTTAGGATGGAGCAGCAGGCGAGGAGGCAGGGGCCATGCCGCAGGTGGACGCTGGTGGGAGGCACCGGCCTGGGGCCTGGTCCACTTGGGTTGAGACACAAGCTCACACCTTATATGCTGGGTGAGTTGCTTCTTCCGTCTGTACAAAGTGGGTAATTGAGCCTGACCTGTAGCCGATGTGTATAAAGCACCTGGTACACAGTAGGTGCTCAGCAGGTAGAAGCTGCTCTTTATGTGGGTTAAGAGAAAACCCACCAGGCCAAAGCAGGCTCTGCGCCCCAAAGGTGGCCTTGGGAAGCATTTACCTTGCCACCCATGGGCTCTGGGGCACCTCCTTTTCACCTCGGGTGGAGCCACGCACCCAGTTGTCCTTTCAGAGGCTGAGCCCCTGGCTTTTTCCTGTGCAGACCCCGGCCCCGTTTACGGACTGGGCTCTAAGTCTCCATGGGCACTGGCATGCCCCTCGAACCTGGCCAGGCCCGTGCGATGGATCGAAGGAATCCCAGCGAATTCCAGGTTGCGCAGGCTCTACGGGTCTCGATTTGCCGCACAGGGTCTGAGAACGTGCAGACCATTTTAGATGTTGCTATGAGCGAGCCTAATTCCAGAGTTGTGTATTGAGCTCTGACTATACTCTAGGCACCTGTGCTAGATCCAGGTGTCATAAAATTAAGACCAAAGCAGCCAGCTCCAGCCCCCTGGGGAGCCCCCTGAGGCCTCGTGATAAAGTCTACATTCAACTCAGCATTCAGAACCCTTGGTCTGGTCTGAATCTGGCTTTCCAGATCCTTGTCCTGTTGCTGCCCGCTCTCCACATCCCCTGTGCCACAGCTGCCAGTGTGTGGTGCATCCCCCACACACCGTGGACTGGTGGGTGCATGCACCATGCCCCACACACCGTGGACCTGTGCGCACACCATCCCCCACACACCGTGGACCAGTGTGCGCACCATCCCCCGCACACCGTGGACCAGTGTGCGCACCATCCCCCACA